CCCAGCTAGACCATAAACAAAATAGTCCATGTATTTTGAATATTAGAATATTCAATTGTCACAGATTCAGAGGAAAAAATTATAAAAGACATTTGGATTTTTTTTTTTTTTATGGTACTGGAGGATTAAACCCAGAGCCTGTGCATGTTAGGCAAGTGCTATACCACTGAGCTGTATCCCCAGTGCTAGGTTCTTTCTTCATCATGTATGTGTTTTAAATAGAATTATAACATTTTTTGCATTCTAGTCTCCCTTGACACAGTGTCATTAAGTATTTTATATTGTTAGTCTGCATTTGTTCATTGGTTCTGCAAGTGTTTGTTGCTGCTGCTATGAGCTAGTCTGCTGGATTTGGGGATAGGAAGGTGAAAGACCATTCTGGATTTTATGGAGCTCACTGTCTGGTAGGAGAGGCATCAGTTGACAATTATAATTCAGTGTGAGAAGAGCAAGAAAAGAAGGAGAGTGAGAGAACTCAGAGTAGGTACCTCTTCTAGGCCCCAGCAAGGGTCTTCCTAAAAGTGATACCACACTAAGACTTAAGCCAAAAAGGAAGAAAGGGAAAGCTGTCATGTGGTAAAAGAACAGCACAGAAATGAGAAAGAGCTTAGTAGATTCAGGAACACAGAATTAATCAGTATGACTGGGGAACTGTTGAAGGAAGAAGCTAGAGAAGCAGGGCTAGATCACAAATGACCTGTGTGCTACAGGAAAAAAAAAATAAAACACAAGAAAAAGTAGATTCATACTGGATGAGGAGAATGAGGTTTCTTTTGGGCATGCTGAGTAGCAGATGTGATGGGACAGCAAAATGGCAGAGTTTATTGGGTACATGGCCTGATGTTTAAAGTAGAGAGCTAAGCTAAACATGAGGACTTCAGAGTCAGTGGCCTCTTGGGAAGCCATGGGTGTAGACCCCCAGGGAGAAGTAAATAGAGAAAAAAAGGATATGACATTCCCATGAATAAGGGGTTTGTGGAGAAGGGAAATATCTGTCTAGAGAGGCTAAGGAGGAAGATTCAGGAAGATAAAAGAAGTAGAGAGAGGGGTATCCTGGGAAGGTGGGAGCTGGGATATAGCTCAGTGGTAGAGCATGTACTTAGCATCTGTGAGACATCGGTCCAACCTTAGCATCAAAAAAAAAAAGCAAACAAACCAGGCACAGTGGCTCACACCTGTAATCCTATCTACTCAGGAGGATCATGGTTTTAAGCCAGCCTGGGCAAATAGTTCGTGAGACCCTAACCCATCACAGAAAAGGGATGGTGAAGTAGTTCAAGGTGTAGGTCTTGAGTTCAAACACCAGCACAGGAAAAAAAGGAAACAGACAAAAAAACAGGTTATTAGAAACTTGGGTAGGGGAATTTTAAGAAGAAAGGTTTTTTTCTTAGTGTGACTGAGAAAGTATGAGGTGAGGATGTATATGAATTGGATCCTGAGCTAGTATTAATTGGTTGAGTATAAGCAGTTTTTTGTTTGTTTGTTTTTTGGCAGTACTGGGGTTTAAACTCAGGGCCTCACACTTGCTAAGTAGGCACTCTACCTCTTTAGCCACTCTGCCAGCCCTTTTTTTGTGTTGGAGATGGGGTCTTGCTTTTTTTTTGGGGGGGGGTGTGGGGAGTCCTGGGCTGGCTTCAAACCATGATCCTCCTGATCTCAGTCTCCCAAGTAGCTAGGATTACAGTCATGAGCCCCTAGTACCCAGCAGCAGTTTTAATTGAATGGCTCAGAAGCAGTGTTATAGTATGTTGAAGCATAAAAAGGAAATGAAGTAGTAGAGGAAATTTGTGGGTAGCCATATGTAAAAAAAATTAAGATTTTTAAAGAATAAAAATTTTAAAATAGGCATAGATGTTTATGTTTGCTTATTGAATGCCAATGGATCTGGGTTTGAGTACTTTATTAGCATTTATTAACCCATTATAAAGTAATGGGTTTCATTACGACTTTTTTTTTTTTTTTTTGTGGTGCTGGGGTTTGAACTCGGGGCTTTGCACTTGCTAGGCAGGTGCTGTACCACTTGACCCATGCCTCCAGCCCCTTATTATCTCTCTCTCTCTCTCTCTCTCTCTCTCTCTCTCTCTCTCACACACACACACACACACACACACACACACACACACACACACACACTCTCTCTCTCTCTTTGGAGCCACTAGGGTTTAGACTCGGGGCCTCAGGCTTTCTAGGCAGGTGTTCTTAACCATTTGAGCCACTCAGCCAACCCTTATGTGTGTGATTATTTTCCTTTTTTTTTGAGATAGGGTCTCAAAAAATAATTGTCCTGGGACTGGCTTCAAACTGTGATCCTCCTGATCTCTGCCTCTTGAGTAAGTAGATTTACAGGAGTGAGGAGTGAGCCACCGGCCCCTGGCAGACATTTTTTTAATTTAATTTTTTGATGGTGCTGGGGTTTGAACTGAGTGCCTCACACTTGATAAGCAGATACTCTACTACTTGAGCCACTCTGCCACCCTAATACATGCATATAGTATGATAATATTCACTCCTTCTATTATGTACCCTTTCTGATTCCCCCACTCTCTTTTCTCCTTCCACAACCTAAAGTCCCCTTTTATTTGTTTGTTTATTTTTTGGTGGGACTGGGTTTTGAACTCAGGGTCTCATGCTTGCAAAGCAGGCACTCTACTGCTTGAGACACACCTCCAGTTCCATTTTGCTCTGGTTATTTTGGAAATGGGGGTCTCACAAACTATTTGCTCAGGCTGATCTTGAATCACAGTCCTCCTGAACTCAGCCTCCCAAGTAGCTAGGATTACAGGTGGGAGCCACTGGCATCTGACTCCCCTTTTATTTTTATGTCCCTTTTTTCCCTTAAATTCTACATATGAAAGATAGCATACAATAGTTGTCTTTGAGAGCTATCTTTTTTACTAGCATATATTAGTGGGGGTGTTCATTATGACATTTACCTATGTGTTTGGAATGTATCTTAATTAGATTCACCCCCTCCAATAGTTATCTTTTTTTTTTTGGTAGTGTTGGGAATTGAGCACAGAGGCTTACACATGCTAGACAAGTGCTCTTCCTGAGCTACATTCCTAACCCCACAATACTTGTGAATCTGACTTATTTTTCTTAACATGATGATTTCCAGTTCCCTTATTAGTTTTCATTCATGGGTGTTTTTTGTTTTTGTTTTTGCAGTTCTGGGAATTGAACCCAGGGCCTTGTGCCTGCTAAGCAAGCACTCTGAACTATAGCCCCAGCCCCATTCTTTTTTTTTTTTTTGCTCCTCTCAGGGCCTCACACTTGCTGCTAGTCAGGTGCTCTACCACTTGAGCTACTTTACCTGCCCCATTCTTATCTTTTGTATGCCAGATTGCATTTATAAGATTCTTCCATTTTTTTGTTAGTTGCCAGTATGAAATAACAAATGCACCCACACTGAGAAACATAATTACAGTCAAAAGCTAGGAAACCTGATACTTCAGTTAGCCTCTATAACATAAAAAGGGAATACAATTCAGGCTCTTACATTTGAGACCCTGAGATGTGGTCACACTTCTTATGATTGCCTCCTCAGGATCTTGGGCTTGCAGCCACTGTGGTTCAGCTTTTCCTTTCACTTTTCATCTGGATTTCCAGACCCCACCCAGGCTATACTCATACCTTGCAAAAGTCTCTCTTTCCAGGGACTTCTTTTGTAAAGGCCAGGGCTGTTCCATCATTCATTGCTTAATGATGGGGATATGTTCTCAGAAGTTTGTCATTTCATGATTTCATCATTGTGCAAACATAGAGTGTACTCACATGAACTAAGATGACTAAGCTGTCAATAAGCAATATAATCTTATGGGAACACCATGATATATGCAGGCTATCATGACTGAAACATTACGTGGTACATAACAGTATTTGGTTTTTAGGAATGCATATTCAGGTTTGCTGGGGAATGTTTTATTTTCCTCAGTAATCGTAAGAGATTGTCCTTCCTCTGAGAATTTCTCTATTCCCTGGAGAGCATATTTTCCTAATGTAAGGTTTTTCTTATTCCCTGACATCCTGTCTAAATCATTAAGTTTTTCCTTCTTTGTCAGAACCTGGATTTCCTGACTGTAATGATCTGTGAACTTTTTTATCCTTATTACAAATAATGTGCATTAGATAAAAATCAATAATGATGTGCAAAAATTATAATAACATTTTGGGGGTTCATATTGGTTAGGGACTTCATATTCATTAAAAACTGACAACAGTCTGAGAGGAAGTAGGGTTGTGTCGCTCACTTCAAAGATAAAGATAACAAGACTCGAGTTTAAGTGACTTTAAAGTCATAAACTTACAAATAGGCAGAGTTGATTTTCAAACTAGAACCAGGACATTTTAGATTACTATTCAAGAGCCTTTTCTATGCACAACGTGCACACGCATGCATACGCACACACACACACACACACACACACAGAAATACACACAAATGGGATCACATTGTATATACATACTTTTTATTCCCACATACTGTGATCTTTTCATGTCAATAGATTTCAACAGCATTTTTTCTTTTTTTTTTGGATGGACCTGCTCTCCCCTGCCCCCCGGCACTGGGGGAGCAGTCAACTCCCCTGAGTGTCAACTCAGGGCCACACGCTTGCTAGGCCAGGTTCTTACCGCTTAAGCCACTCCATCAGCCCTTTTTTTTGTAATGGGTTTTTTTGAAATGGGGACTCTCAACCTATTTTCTGGGGCTAGCTTCGAACTGCAGTCCTCTTGATTTCTGCCTCCTAAGTAGCTAGGATTATAGGCATGAGCCACACCTTCAGCCCATTTTGCTCTGGATAATTTTGGAGATGGGGTCTTATGAACTACTTCAGTTCCAGTTCACAAGCCCAGTTCCAGGGCTGGCCTTGAACCTGGATCCTCCCAATCTTAGCCTCCCAAGTAGCTAAGATCACAGATGTTAGCCACCAGTACCCACCTTCAACAGCATTCTTTTTAATCCAGTATCCTTCTGTTTCTTCTCCTAACCCTGTTCCCAGGATCGATGAGAATGTGCTTGGAGCCCAGCTGGATGTTGAAGCCGCCCATTCAGAGATCCTCAAGTACTTCCAGTCAGTCACCTCCAACCGGTGGCTCATGGTCAAAATCTTCCTTATCCTCATTGTCTTCTTCATCATCTTTGTGGTCTTCCTTGCCTGAACCCTCTTCACTCTGAGGCACTCCATGGGGGTTTAGGACCTTCCTGGGAGGGCAGGTGGCCAGTTACTGTCACTGAACCTGTGCAGGGTGCTTGGGAGAAAGGCCATTTCCCTGGAACTGCTAAGAATGGCCAGTGTCCCTGATCTCTGACCCTTGCCTCTGGTCACCCTGTCCTCCTCTTACATCCTCAGACCCATGTAAAACACACAGTTCTGGATTTGGACTCTGCCATGAAGCAGCTGGCAGGGAGCAGAGGCCAGCTGGGGGCCAGCGGGGGAGGTTGTCACCACCTGATTTTTATAAGTCCTGGCCAACCTCTTCTAAAGGAAACTTTGGCAGCAAGGGAAGATGATAACCCTGTCTGCCTTCCTGAGCGTGAAGAGAGGAAGCAAAACTGTCCCAGGGACCAACTTTCCCATCTGGGTTAGAACTTGACTTCCTTCTTCCTTTCTTCACCATATGAGGCAGGAGGCTCTGAGCCCTTATCTGTCTGTACAACCCCTGACTTTGGCTGCTGGTGACTTTCAATTTGCCAAATGTGCTGCAGCCCATTTCCTCCCAATTACAGCAAGACTGTCAGCCTCACTAGCCATGTTGTCATTTCTGGGTGGGAGTGTCGAAGGGCTTCAGCAGCAAGTGGAGTGAACCACTGCCAGTATTGGAACTGAAAGGGTTGGGTTAGAGGCTCTCAGGGGCCCTACTGCTGAACCAGGCAGCTTTTGGGATCTGTACCCACAGTTAATCCTCCAAGCAGGGAATAACTAAGTGCAGCAGCACATCATTAGCACCAAAGATTCCTTCCAAAAAGGGAATCTGTTCACAGAGTGAGTCCCTGATTGGTGGCAAGTTCCAAGAGTATCTCAAGCAGTGTTTGGACCTGAATTCATCTGTTTCTTCCAACCAGTTGGCCTAATTCTTCCTTGAACTAAGTGAGGTAGGGAATCTGCTGCCAGAAGCAGAAGAAAAATGAATTTGTCCGAGCCCCAGCTGAGGTTTTTGGTTCAATTACCTCACCAAATCCAAGGCAGTCACAGGAGTATGGAGGAGACCTGCCTAAAGACCCTCCAGGTTAATGTCCTGGTAAGGACTCATCACCAGACCATTCTGAGGCTACCCGAGTCCCCCCAAATCACACATCCTAAAGGAAGCTCAGATTACAGAGAAAAGCGTCACCACACACAGGGTCAGCTCCTGGTATTTTGGAAGGTCTGGGGAGCGCCCATATCCCTGGCGTTTTAAAATTCTGCCTTGTATCTGGCAAGTGGTTCAACCACTGCTAGCTACCTTCCCTGTCTGCCCTTCGGACACGTGCTTGGGTCTAGCTTAGTATGCCAGTGGTGGGTGGGACTACTTGTGGAGACCAATGCCTTCCAAAGTCCTGACAGATGTCTCCTGTGAAGGGGATACATGAACCAGAAATTCGTCTCTTTCACAAACATTTGTACTGTGTAACAGGCATGATAATTGAGACCGACGCTGGAGAAATGGCTGAGTTAGCGAAGGCTCCTCCCGTGGAGCTTACACTCCAGTTTTGTTTCGTCATAATCCATTTTATAGGCGAGGAAAACAAAGCTTATGTCCGCGGCTGGTAAAGACCTAAACTGAGATTTAAACGCTGGCTGGATCTCACTAGGGGACTGAGAGATTACTGCGGCTCGAAGCCCGGTCTTGATTCCTTGGGAGCCCAACGTGCGGCCCTGTTCCCTGCTCCTCTGAGTTCCGGGCTGCAGAACTTGCTCTCAGCTCCAGTGTGAACTCTGGCGCTGCTAGGACTGCGTCAGCCCGGGCAGGTAGACAAGCAAGAGAGAGGGTAAAGTGGCCGCCAGCCATCGCGCAGCGAGCTCAGGTCGTAGGCGGGGCTTGGGGGGGTCAAGTCCCGCCCCCCGTGACCGCTGGCGTGTGCGCATGCGCGGAGGGCGTGCTTCCGCCCCGGTGCCGCCCACAGTCTGGGGACGTCTGCGGCGCGCGACGTGCTTCGCCGGATAAATGCGGTGCCGCCGGTGGTAGAGAGAGCTTCGGTCCTGAGCGCCTGGGCGTTCCGACGTCTGGTGGCGTCGGAACCTGCTCCTCCTCTTCGCTGTGCCATGGCGGACGAAGGGAAGTCGTACAACGGTCAGTGCTGGTCCTTGGGCCAAGAGCGGATGATCTGGGTCCGGGTGGGCGGCGCCGGCCTAGGCCGCAGCCCAGGGGCGGGAGGCCGCGAGAGGCCGGGCGTCCGTGGGCAGTGGCGAAGGCGCGGGCCAGGTCGGGCCGGGGACGAGGCAGCCCCCGGCACCCGCAGGACTCGAGGTGGGCGGCATCTGGAGTTGTTGACTCCGGAATCCTGGCGTTGGAGGACCTGTGGCTCGGGGGCGGGATGACAAGATTCCTTTGAACTTTGAGGGTGGTTGATGCCTGTCAGTTCAGTTTGGCGGCCTGACTCTTCCTTTAATGGGAGTCCGTCCCTTGCTCATGGGGTGTCCTGGTGCCCTATTTTTTTGTACCGCATTCAGTCGGTCTTGCCTCCAGCCTGAAGCGTTGGCTTAGTATATGAGAGTCATATAAACTTTCTAGTAGGAACACTACACTGGCGTGTTTAGTTCACTGTAGTGTTTAGGAGAGCGTGAGAAGTGAGGCTTGAATCCTGAGTTGGCTACTCTTAGCTTGAGTGAGTTAACTTTCGGGCTCTGTTTACACCCCTTAATGTGGGTTAGTAGGGTGTCTGTCTCCTAAAAGAGAGAGAGAGAGAGAGAGAGAGAGAGAGAGAAGAGAGAGTAAATGAGATCATTCGTATCAAGTGTTTGGAGCACACTGACAATGGAGAGCTCTCAGTGAGCATTAGCTGCACTTTCTATTCACATATTCTTTTTTTCCAGGGACATTTGGGGAAGTTTATTGCTAAAGTGTTGGAAGTCAGGGACTTTTTTTTTCTCTGGTGCTGGGGATCAACCCAGATCCTCCCAAATGCTAGGCAAGTGATCTACCACTGATTCACACTCTAATCAGCCCCATGGACCTTCTTTTAAGAAGCCATTTCTATGCAGTAGAAGTCAGAATGTATGTTTTGTTTTTCAGACAGGGTTTTACTATATAGTCTTCATTAGCCCTGAATTCATAATCTTAGAGAACATTTCAGGCCCTTTGGTTAAGCACCCTAGTGTGAAGCTCCCCAAGAGCCTGAGTTAAAGGGCATTTCTGGTAAAGAAAGATCATTTCACAAACTTCCTAGTGTCAGTTTGAGAGCAGAGAATTGGGTTTTTTGTTTGTTTGTTTGTTTGTTTTAGGAGGCCATAAATTGGTCATATTTGTAACTGGTGTTCATACCCTGTAAGAAAAAGAAATACTGAATGGCAGATTTCAGGGGTCTGCTTTGTGGCCAGTTACATTTTTGGTTGTGTACACGTCTACATTCTGCTTCTATATGTAGTTCCAGTAGTGCAGGGTGCTAGAAGCTCATGATTGCTATACCAAGTAGCTGGATCAGTACATGTTTACTAATTTCTGTACCGGTTTCTAACTCCAGAGCATGACGACCGTGTTAGTTTCCCTCAGAGAAGAAAGAAAGGCCGGGGTCCTTTCCGGTGGAAGTATGGTGATGGGGGGAACCGTCGGTCTGGAAGAGGCGGTTCTGGTATTCGATCTTCCCGGCTTGAGGAAGATGATGGAGATGTGGCAATGAGTGATGCACAGGATGGTCCCCGAGTACGATAGTAAGTGACTAATTGGTCTGCTTTGAATGTAGTAGATTATATAGCCCTTTTACCGTCCTTGTCATTTCTCTTCCCACCTGAAAAATGGTGCATGCAGAACCAATTTAATGGTTGAATAGTCTTAGTTGTAGTCTCACCAGCAGTGCAGGATGCTCTTTCCTAGTGTTTATGGACTTTTAATTCTCTGCTTCTCCACAGCAACCCTTATGCCACTCGACCTAATCGTCGGGGTGATACTTGGCATGATCGAGACCGCATTCATGTTACTGTACGGAGAGACAGAGCTCCCCCAGAAAGAGGAGGAGCTGGTACCAGCCAGGATGGGACCTCAAAGAACTGGTTCAAAATTACAGTGAGTACCTTGAGAAAGTAGATGATACAGCAGAGACAAAGACCTGGGCTCAGATGAGTCTTGTTTTTTTTTTCTCCACAAAAATTTGTTTTCTCTGCTATTTACTTCACAGTCAGGTATCTAACTTTTAGTAGAATCAATGTCTTAAAACACCTAAGAGCAGGCTCAAGGAAGAGGTTAGAGGGGGTACAGTCGGGGTGGACTGGAAGTGTGATAACAGTCAGGAGATAAAAAGTAACTGTATCTATTTGGTTAAGCCAAGTCCCTGGAGTTCTTGAGGGACAGGCAAGATATAGATAATATCTTAACTTTTAGAATTAACAAATTTGGTTCTTTTCAGAAATAATAAGTACAAGTATACAGAAAGGAGATTAAGGAATCCATGTGTTTCTCAAGTGGAAAACCTATAGCTGTTCCTTTCTTTAGAAAAAAAAAAATTTAGGGTTCTGCAGATGGGCACTAGTCAGGCTTAAGGCCCTGAGTTCAACCCCTAGTACTATAAATTTAAAAAATTTTTTTTCTTTTTTGGTATTGGGGATCTACCCATGGCTTCATGCATACTAAGCATGCACTGTACCATTGAGCTGTATGATAAAACCTAGAAAATTTTTTAAAGCTTGGGAGAAGTTATAAAAGGAATGTTGGTTTCCAAGTACAAGTACACATCTGATGAGTATATGTGGAATTTAAAAATTGAGTTTCCTGGAAAAAACAGAAAATGAAAACTAAAACCAAAAAAAAAAAAAAAAAAAGTGTGGGATTGGGTCAGCTGTTCAACCTTACATAGTGTTCCCTTTTCTCTTTCATTTCTAGATTCCTTATGGCAGAAAGTACGACAAGGCATGGCTCCTGAGCATGATTCAGAGCAAATGCAGTGTCCCTTTCACCCCTGTTGAGGTAAGGCAATGTCTGAGTGGGTGGCTGACTAGGCACCAGGGTAAGCAAGGCAGTTGGGAGCAGCTGAGCAAGGGGTTATAGGCTCCAAATCTAATGCTTTTGTTTCCTCTTCTTATAGTTTCATTATGAGAACACACGGGCCCAGTTTTTTGTGGAGGATGCCAGTACTGCTTCTGCATTAAAGGCTGTCAACTATAAAATTCAGGATCGAGAGAACCGCAGAGTATGTGTAAAGGGCCTGGCTTGGCTGGAGGTTGGAACTGGCGTATAGAGCAGGGGGACAGGGTCTTGGTTCTGGAGCTTTAACTTCCTTAACTTGTACTGTGTCCTTTCTGTCTTTTCTCCAGATATCTATTATCATCAACTCCTCTGCTCCACCCCATACTGTACAGAATGAACTGAAGCCAGAACAAGTAGAGCAGCTGAAGGTGAGGCTCGCTTAAGTAACATGTTCCAACTTAGTCCTTGTACTTCTCATACTCTCATACTCACTCAGCAACTTCCCCCATCACCACACACACACACACACACACACACACACACGACCACTGAAGCCTTTGTCTTCCTCTGTAGCTGATCATGAGCAAACGATATGATGGCTCCCAACAAGCACTTGACCTCAAGGGCCTCCGTTCAGACCCAGGTATGGCTGACAGCAGTGATTCTCAGCTAGGTGGAGATGGGAATTTGTCAGGCAGGGAAAGTTTGGGATGGTTTAGTGTTCACATTGACTGGGCTAGCACTCTCAGACTCCCCTTTCTTTCTGCTTCCTGAAGATTTGGTGGCCCAGAACATTGATGTTGTCCTGAATCGTAGAAGCTGTATGGCGGCTACTCTGCGAATCATTGAAGAGAACATCCCTGAGGTGAGGGCTTTGGCCCAATATAGTCAGCTTGAGGAAGCAGGGTGGGACAGTTGGGATGGATGAAGAGCCAGATTTGTTCCTGATATACTTACTGGTAATGCTTGCTCTAAACTCTTCTCTGTCCACAGCTGTTATCCTTGAACCTGAGCAACAACAGGTTATACAAGCTGGATGACATGTCCAGCATTGTACAGAAGGCGCCCAACCTAAAGATCCTAAACCTCTCCGGAAATGAAGTGAGGATTAATATCTTGGCTGTATTTTTAATGAGGTAGACAGAATGGGGAGGGCGTGTTTGCCCCTGATGGAAGGCAAGAGAGAACTTAGAGATGCAGGTAGAGCTTTGAGGTGTGGGAATCCAACTGGTCTCCTTACCAAGGTCTCTTCTGCTTTTCCCCCCGTCCTTTATAGTTGAAGTCTGAGCGGGAGTTGGACAAGATAAAAGGGCTGAAGTTGGAAGAGCTGTGGCTTGACGGAAACTCCCTGTGTGACACCTTCCGAGACCAGTCCACCTACATCAGGTCAGTTGTAGCCTCTGTTTCCCCTCCTGGGGACCTTCACCCCCTGGGAGGCTGAGCTAATACACCCTGACTAGTGCCTGTCTGCAGGAGACATGCAGCCCTGAGCTGGAACCAGCTGTCCTTTGGGAGGACCACAGCTCCCTTTCGTGTTGTCTATGTCTCCCAGCTTTGTCCCAAGATCTCTCCTTTCTTCTCACCTGACTACTATTTGGTGGTTCTGTGGCCTTTCTCCTTCCTTCTTGAACACAGCCTTTTCTAGAATCTGCTTACCCTGTTGTTCCAGGAAGGGCACCTCTTCTTTTCTACTCTGACCAGGGGGTGTCTTGTATATGCCCCATATATGGGGTCACCTTCAGCCAAGAGCCTAATGTCCTCAGGCTGAGATAGCCTTCTCAAACTGGGACTTCCTGCTAGATGGGTCTTCCCTTCTTTGTTCTCTGATGGCCCCTCTTGCCCTTGTGTCAAGAGGGACCCTTTTCTTAAGAGCCACTTGCCCAAGGCAAGCCTGGGCATTGCTGCCCATACTGAGGTTGAGGTCTCATGGAGGTTGGTACCATGCCATCTGTCTCTCTTGCCCAGTGCTGTGATATGGGCCTTCCCTGGAGAAGAAACCTGGGTTTCCCAAAACATTTGATCAAAGCCGGGGCCCTGCAAGCTGGCGAAAGGCTCCCAAGGCAGGTGCTGGGCGTGGAGGCCACGGGGGCATAGGCTACAGGAGACAGAGAACTGACCCTCTCGGGCACTGCCCCTCTCTTCACTTGCACACTTCACATCATCCTGCTTGGCCCCGGAGGATGGCTGGTTAGCCAGAGACGGGTAAGATTCCTCAGGGAAGGAACAACCTAAGACAGGCACAGTCGCAGAGGGGCCATCAGGAGAGAACTTGGGGGCCAACAGGTGGGGCACAGACCCTCACCCCCCCAACTTTGCAGGGGCCTGAACCCTCACCCCTTCTGAGGGAGGTCTCCTGCCCCCATGGCTGCTTTGCTTCCCACGCCCAGCTCAGAGTGGGACCCAGTGTAGCAGACAGAGACCTGGCCGACAGCAACTGTGCAACACCACAGCACATTATGTTTTCCATCTCTACCTTGGACCACAGGGAAAGGAGCAGCTGAAGGAAAAGGCTGTGTCAGGATGTTCCTTGTCTTTTTTCCTTATTTTTTTCTAAATGCCTCTTTGCCTATAGTTCTTTTTGCTTTGCTTTCTCTTTCCTTTTCCTCTACTCCACAGTGTTTCCCCCATCTCTTCTTTATCCCTACCTTTTTCTCTTTTTCTTCTCCTTTCCTTTTCTCTTTCTTTGCCTCTGCTCCTCCTGAGCCCTGTCTTGCTCATCTCCCTATCCCAACATCCTGTGTCATCCCTATGGTGTGTTCTGGTCTTGGCCAAGGCCAGACCTGGCAGAACTGATGGATACCTGGTGAGGCAGCGGAGCCCCTGGGCTCCCACCCCATTCCCTCCTCCCGGGGCTGCACAGGTGAGTAGGTGGAAGGTAAGGGGGGCCAGGAGGGGAAGGAGGTCCTAGGCTTAATGCCTGGGCTGGGAGTGCTGCTCCTTGTGGCATTCAGGGTCAGGAAGAGAGAAAAGAGACAGTCAGCCTTCAAGGCAGTCCAGATTGGGTACTCTTTAAGTGAGATGGGGAATGAGGGACACTTTTCCCTGAGTGCAGGCTGGGGAGGAGTGGGGCAATGAGCAGGATGGGATGGGCTGTCCCTCCCGTGTTGGTGTATTTGCTCCTAGAGCAGCTCAGGAGGCATGGTGGCTCTGAAGCATCACTCACTTCTGTCCCGTTCTTGACAGTGCCATTCGCGAGCGATTTCCCAAGTTACTGCGCCTGGTAAGTCCAAAACATGTTTATTTTTATCTTTGTCTCTTTTTTGTTTCTTTTATAATGAGCATAGCATTTTCCATTTTCAGGGTTTTGCCTAATTTATTTTTACTTGACTGTTAATTTGGAGACAATAGAGCCCTTTATGACACTAATAATGGGAATAAGTCATCTTCCCAGAAAAAAAGCCTGTAGGCAAAAATTGCATAATACATGAGGATTCCTGGGTACTTTTCATGCCTCTTTTATACATGACTTCTCACCCTTCATGCTCTGCTCTTCCATCTGCTTGTGTATCAGCCTTTTTCTCTGTTTTAACTTTCACTTTTTTTTTTTTGGTGGGAGTGGGTTTATTTATTTGTTTGTTTGTTTGTTTATTTTTGGTGGGACCAAGGATTGAACTCGGGTTCACGCTTGTAAAGCAGGTACTCTTGCACTTGAGCCATGCTTCCAGTCTATTTTACTCAGATTATTTTGGACATGGTGGTCTCAGGAACTATTTGGGCTGTACTCAAACTACAGTCCTCTTAATCTCAGTTTGCCAAGAAGCCAGGATTGCAGGTGTGAGCCACCATACCTGGTCTTAACTTTCACTTCATTCTGCAGGATGGCCATGAGTTACCCCCACCAATTGCCTTTGATGTTGAAGCCCCCACAATGTTACCGCCCTGCAAGGTGAGAAGTGAGGAAAGAGTTGGATCTTGTATGTGGGAAGAGGGCTGGTTCTACATTCTTAATTTCTGTTTGATTCCAGGGAAGCTATTTTGGAACAGAGAACCTGAAGAGCTTGGTCCTGCACTTCCTGCAGCAGTAAGTATCCCAGGGCCCCTGAGACTGGGGAGAATGGCTGGCGTGAGCACAGTTCACTCTGGGGAGTCACTGTGTCCCTTCTTGGCTCCAGACCACATAGCTCAGGCTTTTCCTTTTGTTTTCCCCATAGGTACTATGCAATATATGACTCTGGAGACCGGCAAGGCCTCCTTGATGCCTACCATGATGGGGCCTGCTGCTCACTGAGCATTCCTTTCATCCCCCAGAATCCTGCCCGGTGAGTATCACATCCTGGAACCTGCCCAGGACCACAGGGTTTCCCAGAAGATACAGACCCCTGTTCTGACTACCACCTCCTCTTCTATTCCCCCAGAAGCAACTTGGCTGAGTACTTCAAGGACAGCAGAAATGTGAAGAAGCTTAAAGATCCCAGTAAGTGTGTGATGTGGGTAAAGCAGTATAGGAGAAAAGAATGGGAAGGAATCGAAGAGCCCTGGAGTGCAGCACTTTCTCAATCCTGCTTTCTCTTCCTTTTGCCTACAGCCCTACGGTTCCGTCTGCTGAAGCACACACGGCTCAATGTTGTTGCCTTCCTCAATGAGTTGCCCAAAACTCAGCATGACATCAATTCCTTTGTGGTAGACATAAGTGCCCAGACGGTAAGCACCTATTTCTCAACTAACAAGAAGCCTGGAATTAGGAGTGGGGGTGAGGGGGACAGCATTTATAGGTGAGGGGTCTCAGGCTCTGGCTGGAAAGCCTACATTTCACCTGGTGCTTCTCTTTCAGAGCACACTGCTGTGTTTTTCTGTTAATGGGGTCTTCAAGGAAGGTGAGAATCTTTTGAGCCCTGAGTTTGTGATGAGGTCCCTCCTCCAACGAGAGTCTTTCTTGGCATTCTTAGCATCCCAGCTACCTTCTGGTCCCTTTTCTCCACTAACCTCCTCCCATTCTTCCCCAAGTCATCTTAGTATAGCCTACTTTCTCTGCCTCTGTTGTCTGAAATGTGACAAAGGCCTGGGGATTAGGCAACACAGACTTCAGAGTCAGACAGTCTCAGTTTCCATACTAATCTTGTTCTATGTGTCTGTGGGCAAGTTACATTACCTCTTAGTCTTACATTCTTTATTTGTAAGTTACGGTTAGTAATACCTTCCCATAGTGGTGCTGTAGGAAGTAAGTAAAATGACTTAGAAAGTGAGGCACATGAGTATTCTATCAGTGGGTTACTAGTTCTTACTTTTATTGTCCTCCCTGATTTGACCCTTCACCCCACTTCTGTTCCCTTGTACATACATATCATTCCTGTCTGGCCCACTTAGGGTTCTTTGAATCAAAAACCATGATTTTTTTAATTGCTAATTTTTTTTGTTGCTGTTGTTTTTTAACTTAATGGAACTTCTTTTGTTTTTTGTTTTTGGTGGGAATGGGGCTTGAACTCAGGTAGGCGTTCTACCAGTTGAGCCACATCCCCAGCCCAAATACCGTGTTTTGAGAACCTGTTTCCAAACATGAAGCATGAGCCATTCTAAGGGGTCATTGCTTCTGTTCTTATTGCAGTGGATGGGAAGTCTCGAGATTCTTTGCGAGCTTTCACCAGGACGTTCATTGCTGTTCCTGCAAGCAATTCAGGGTAAGTGTTCTGCTTACCATGCTAGGTACTAGTCCCAGTCCATCATCATCTGTGTGCTAAATGGAAGGTTGATTCAGTCCTTGAAGAATTTTCAGAATTAGAGAAAGGCAACAGGAAATCACAGAAGCAGCTCATGTAGTGGTTAAAAGCTTGGTTCTATATGGGACTGTCTTTTTTTTAATCTTACTCCCATCAGTTCTAGCAGCAGGCAAGTTTCCTTGTCTGAATTTTTTTGTTGTTTTGTTTCAATGGACTTTGTTTTTGTTTTTCTGAGACAGGGTCTTGCTAGGTAGTCCAGGTCTGCAACTCCTTATGTAGTTTGGGCTGGCCTTGAACTCAAAATTCTCTGTCTCAGTCTCCCTAGTGCTGGGATTATAGGCATACCTGGCGTGTCATCTGAAAATTTATATAACAGTATTCACTTCCCAAGTATGTTGTGAAGTTAAATACAAGATAAAAAGGTAACAAGCTGGGCATGGTGGTGTGTGCATGTACTCTACACTAGAAGGTTGAGGCAGGAGGAACATTAGTTCAAAGCCAACCTGAGCTGCATAGTGAGTACCAGGCCAACCTGCTCTTTTTTTTTTTTCTTTTTTTGCAGTACTGGAGCTTGAACTCAGGGCCTTCACCTTGAGCCACTCCACCAGCCCTATTTTTGTGAAGGGTTTTTTGAGATAGGGTCTCACAGAACTGTTTGCCCCAGCTGGCTTCAAACTGTGATCCTCCTGATCTCTGCCTCCTGAGTAGCTAGGATTGACCAGCCTGGTCTAAATAGCAAAACTGTGTCTCCAAAGAACTGTCTGTGGGAGGGGCAGTGTATAACTCTAGTGTGTTGGGGAGATAAGACTTCTAAATATGGGGGGTGGGGGCAGGGGGGAGAAATGAACCAAGCCTTGTATGCACATATGAATAATAAAAGAAAAATGAAAAAAAAAAAAAAAAAGGAGACAATCATAGTTTTATTGATGAAAAACTGAAATCTTATGGTGGTTAGGATAGCAAAAAAAAAAAAAAAAAAAAAGACTTCTAAATATGGAGTCCATAGGAGGAAGAAAATGATAAAAGGTAACAACTAGGAGTGTGAAGAGGACCACATGGATATTAAATATATATATGAGTGTTGGATGCCCAAGAATAGGAATAATGTTGGGAAGATAAGGTTGTGTGTCCAGCTGTTTAAGGTGTTTTCTTGTCCCCAAGGTTATGTATTGTAAACGACGAGCTATTTGTGCGGAATGCCAGCCCTGAAGAGATCCAAAGAGCCTTTGCCATGCCTGCACCTACACCTTCATCCAGCCCAGTTCCCACTCTCTCCCCGGAGCAGCAGGAAATGTTGCAGGCATTCTCTACCCAGTCTGGCATGAACCTTGAGTGGTCCCAGAAGTGAGTGCTGAGCATGCATAGGACCGGGGTAAACTGAGATAGGGCTGTTAGTGAAGAATGAGTGCTCCTGAAATTTTAAAAGCCAAAAGTTTTTTATTACTTAAAGAGCAAGTTTCATAAAAAGTTGCTGTATGGATAAATTAGTGTAACAATTCCTTTTTTTAATGTGCATTTAAAAAAACAAAATGGCTGGTGGAGTGGTTCAAGTGAGTGGGAGAGCACCTGCCTAACAAGAGGGAGACCCTGAGTTCAAGCCCAGTACTACCAAAAAAAAAAAAAGTATCACCAAAAATACATAGATACAGTATCTTCTTGGGGAAGGTGGAATAAATGGAAGGAAAATAAGTTACCATTTTTTCTTTTGAAAATAAATTGTGGCTTGAATTGAGCATTCTGCTTTTTCCCTAAAATTTGGATTTACACTATGAAATGAAACATTTGTTTCTGTACAATAAGGAGAGGGTGTTGGAGACCCTAGGCCCAGCAGTGACCTTCAGGTTCTTACAAGCTACTAAATTCACAGTGTTCCTTTGGTTAAGTCATTTCCCTTCCCTGAGATATTTCCAAATCCATAAAATGAATGGATTTTTTTCTAAGACACCCTCTTGTACCCTGGGTATTTCTGGAATAAGTGGCAGTGGAAGAGATGAGGCATCAAAGAGGACTTCAGTAACAAATTCAAAAAACCAAAACAAAGTCTTTTTTTTACTTATCTACTTTTTGTGGTACTGGGATTTGAACTCATAACCATGCAAGAACTCTTACCATTTGAGCCACACATCCAACTCCTTATTTATTTTTTAAGATGGCTCTTGCTGTGTTGCCTAGGCTGGCCTCAAATTCTTGAGCTCAAGTGATCCTCCTGCCTGAGTTCCCCAAAGTAGCTGGGACTACAGGTGCATGCCACTATACCTGGCTCTGAAGTTCTTTTCTATGTTCTGCAACTTAGTTTCTTAAACCATGTAAATCCTTCCCTACCATTTTAAAAGCTACCTTGGTCTTGACAGGTATTTAATATTCCTTATATTTGTTAGACTATTGTTGAACATTTTGATATCTACTCAGTTTTCATTTATGTAAATAGAAGTGTATATCATTGTTGGCAAACTTGGGTGAGTACCTCTATAGGAGGATTCTGGTGTGGCATTTAGCCATCAAGATGACTGCATTTTGGTTCTCATGGAGCTGCCTGTTTTTCCCCTACTCCAGGTGCCTTCAGGATAACAACTGGGACTACACCAGATCTGCCCAGGCCTTCACTCATCTCAAGGTAGTTGGAATACGGTGGCAAAAAGACAGGGCTCTCTTGGCCTTCTGCGGGTCCAGGGGCACACCTGGCTCTACTGACCTGTCCTTTCCCTCCAGGCCAAGGGTGAGATCCCAGAAGTGGCGTTTATGAAGTGACCTGTAGTATGTCCCAGAAGCCCCCTTGTAAATAGCCCATGGATATTATCATCTGGTTGTCATCTGTCGTCTCCAGTCTGGCTGAGGACACCCTGTGACTGTGACCGAGGGAGGGTGGCTGCATCTTCTCCTTGCCTGCCTTCTGGAAGACTTCCGGAAAATTGAGCCTCATGGTGCCAGGAAGCCAAAGCTTACTTTGTAGAACTGACACTAAACTATCGGAAGGACTTAGGTGCTTTGTGTACTTAACCCCTGGTTTCCCCTTATTTTTTGAGATAAAGAGTGACATTGTATTTTGTGTCCCTTGTTTCCGGCGGCACTGTGGGTGTGCTCAGGGAGGGCAGGGCCTCGCCACAGGAAGTCCCGCCCCGGAAGTGCCCGGAGGGTGCAGCCATGGCAGCGCCTTGGCGGTGGCTCCAGGGCCTGCAGGTCACTTTGCGGCTGGTGCCCATGCACCGGCCCCTGCACGACGCAACCCCGTCACGGGATGTGCTGCTCTTCGAACACAAACGTGGCCGGTTCTTCACCGTCCTTGGGCTGTTCTGCGCGGGCCAGGGAGTCTTTTGGATGTCCCTAGCCGTGGCAGCCTTGTCCCCACCCCAGGTTCCCGCCCAACTTCAGGACGCCCAGACCCCAAAACGGAGCTACTTTGACCTCCGCGCTACGCTCTGGCGGTATGGGCTGGCTGTTGGCTGCGGTGCCATTGGTAAGGCATGGAGTGGATTCCCCATGGAATGGAATGGAATGGAATGGAATGGAGTGGAATGGTGATCATAGCGATTCCTAGTCAGGCAAGGAGAGGGAGGAATTCCTGTCCTCCATGCCTCTGTAAGAGTGCGCGGGACACTTGGGGACCTAAGTGCCACACCCTGCACTAACTCTGGTCGGGAGGTTACTTAAGGTCTTTTAAAATGGGGGTGGAGCCCGCGCTGGTGGCTCTTAACCAGATCATGGATGGAGCCATCTCCAAAACAACCAGAGCAAAATGGACTGGGGGTGTGGCTCAAGTAGTAGAGGGCCTGCTTTGCAAACACAAAGCCCTGAGCTCAAACCCCAGTCCCACCAAAAATAAAATGGGGAGGGCAGCTATAAAGATGTGGGTGATGAAATAACACACAATCCTAGGCTATAAAAGGAGCTCAAAACTGTTAATGTCATCACAATAATTTCTTTTACTCAAGAGGCCCTGTGGCTCATGCCTGTAATCCTAGCTACTCAGGAGGCAGAAATCAGTAGGTTCTCAAAGGGAGAAATGCGGTTTGAAGCCAGGCTCAGGCGAATAGTTCATGAGACCCTATCTCGAAAAAAAAAAAAAAAAAACCACATAAAAGCACTGGTAGAATGGTTCAATCTGTAGAGCACCTGCCTAGCAAGTGTGAGGCCCTGAGTTCAAACCCCAGCACTGCCAGAAAAAAAGAGGCACTGGAAGGGTTGGTGTTTAGCCCTCCAGCAAAAACCTACTCTTTGCTCTTCCTGCAGGAACTCTCATACTTGGTGCTGGTCTTCTCTTCTCTCTCCGATCTGTGCGTTCAGTAATGCTTCGAGCAGGTGGGCAGCAGGTGACCTTCACCACTCATAGCCCCTTTCGCTTGGGAGCCCATCTCACTGTCCCCTTGAACCAGGTATCCTGCATGGCACACCGAGGGGAAGTTCCTGCTATGTTGCCTCTGAAGGTCAAAGGCCACCGCTTTTACTTCCTCTTGGACAAAGCTGGACACTTCCCCAACACTCAACTCTTTGACAACACTGTGGGTGCCTATCGGAGCTTGTAAAAAACCACTGCTAAAACTTCAGGGATGTGGCAACAACAGGGATCACAAAAATGGGCCCAAGATCATTAACAGCAAATAAAGGTGACTTCCAAAGGGCGGCCTGATCCATACCTGTATACGCTTTCATTCCTTCTTCCTATTTATTTGCTTTAATATCAAGAATTGAATACCAAGATGAAGAAAGCAATGTAATATTTTGGTATAAAAACAGCTATAGGAAGAAAAGTGGAGGGGGCTTGCTGTTTCCCTCCTGGAGGGAAAAGTGCAGAAACAGGGCTAGTGGGGGGCAAGAAGATTACAGGCACTTGGGCCCAGGGTCTTTGGCTGCAGAAGCTCTCTCTGGTCACTCTTCAGGAATGCGATAGGTGTGGCCTTACAAGAGCATCTGTCTCAGAGCTCCACTCCGGGTCACCCCTCTCCAAAGGTCGGTATGGGGTGGCTTCAGACTTCCACTGCATGACCTGGAGCATCAAGACCACACACCACAATACCAGATCCACCCAAGAAGCGGTCTGTGAGAGACAGGACAGTAGTATGAGGAGCAGAGCTGTTTCAGAGCCAGTCCTCCACCCACATGCCAGTTTTTATCAGTTCAATGTCGGGCTGACACTCAGCTCCTCTCAGCCTGTCACTGGTGGGACAAGCTCATAGTACACTGCTGAGCACCCTTACACCTAGATACTTATAAGAATCACTGTATATCCCTGGGTCTCACTTCAGCATTGTGTAGGTTGGAATAAAACTTCAAAGCGGTTCCAGGGGGTGTCCATGGAATTTTCTGGGCTTCAGAGCAGCTGTGAGGTCAAAAAGACAGTTGTAAGAAAAAGAGGACATGCCCTAAGCACACTTGTGCCCAGATACTCTTTGAGATGAGGACAAATTATGGGGATAAAATGGTAGGTTACTCGACCTGCCACCTGAGAAGGGAAGGTTGCTCCTGCCAGGCGCCCCTGCCAGGCTTCCCTCCCGCTCCTATTACCTAATTGTACGGTTCAGAGAGATGATGGAAGTGCAGAGAGAATTGGTGCCAAATCGAAGGATACAGGCAGACACTAAGACCAGGAAAATGGCGATAGCTGAGATGACCAATGCAATGCGGAGCCCTACAGGACCTCTGAAGGGAAGAGAACAAGCTTGTTGAGATGGGACTCATCCCACCTGAGCCCCTGGTCCTCAGAGAAGGGCAATCACCTGTGGGAGTCCTCGATGCAGCTGCTGTAGACCCAGAAGAGCAGAAGTAGGAGGCAGTAGAGGGCCAGGAAACCAGAAGTTCCAGCCACAAAATAGCAGAGGGATGGAGCTGAGGGGCGGGATAAGGCCAGGGAGGAGGCATTCAGGGCAGCCACACCATACAAGGGACAGCTACCACTGAAGGAGCCCTGTGGAGAGAAGCTGTTGAGTCAGATTGCGGTTAGTACTCCTGGAGACAGATTCCTGGCAGGTGTTAAGGATAACCTACGTCAGGACTACTCTAGAAGCTTATGTGTGTTATCAGTTCCTGTTTCTAAGAAGGAATGTAGACTCTGCTAGGAAGTCAAACCTGCAGTGTCCAGAGGATCAGGAAATACATAGGCAGTGGTTATAAAATATAAGTTATTTAAGAGAAGTCACAAGTTCTAGTCGAGTAAACCCAGACTTTGTGTAAACACCAGTCTGTAAAATAGGCATCCTAGTGCCTACTTTACAGTGATTAAATGCATCCATGCTTGTTAATAACACTGCCTGGCAGTAATAAACCTAAATTTACTTAAGCGTATTTTATCATTTAACTAACAATCATGTGGTAGCTGGATCATCTCCACTACCCTATGCTTATTAGCATAGGTCAGCACAAGTTGTCTTCTAATTTATCCGACGGACGCCGGGCCTGAGCTGACGTCGGTCAGCGGTAAACACTGGCTCTTTCTAACCCTGTAAGACCCTTCTGACGTTTACTCCCTTTGCGAAGGAAATGACTTTCATTTGGTCTGGCCGGACGGAGCCACAGCGCAGTTAGCGTCGCGGCGTTTGAGGGGCAAAACAGCGCCCGCCAGGCCAGGAAGCAGCCAGGCTCCTCGCCTCCCCGACCCCAAGGCTGGCCCACGCCCCGCACGGCAGCACCTGGGTCCGGGTCAGCGTCGCGGCCGCCACGGCCCCGCACAAGAAGGCGGCGGCAAAGAGCACGAGCTCAATGCGCTGCACCCAAGGTAGTGCCATGGCGCCCAGGCCATCAGGAAGCAGCGACGGGGGAGCCAACCGCTCAAGCCCCGCCTTATCCGGCGCGACCGAAGAGAGCGGAGACGTCACTTCCGGGCGCGGGATTTATTTACAGAAGCAGAAGCTGAGGCCGCTTCACAGCGGCAAGTAGAGGGAGTAGTCCGAGAGCGCCCAGCGGCGAGCCGGGCGGCCAGTACGGCCAATCATGGGCAGCTTCTGCACGTAGCGGGAGGCCGGGCTGGGCCCGTACGGCGCGGGGAAGGCAGTCTGGAAGAGGCGCCCGCGGCACCGCCTCCCGGCCTGCCGCCCGGCAATGATGAAACGGAAATGGGGGGCGCCGCGCGGGGCAAAACGGCTCTTCTGAAAGACGTCGCGGGTGCCGGCGCCCGAGCCTTGCTGCCGGGGCGCTCCCCGCGCCCGGTGCACGCGAGGCAGCGGCCTGCTCTCAGAGGCAGCGGGCGCCGAGGCCGACGGGGGTCCGCCACCGCTCCGGGGGCTCTCGTCGCCCTGCGGGCTAACCATGGCATTGGCCGTCAGTTGCGGCATTTTCCGCACCGAGTCCGGGGCGGCTGCTGGCTCCTTCTTGTCCCCGGGCGGCCGCGGGGCCGTGGGCGCGGGTTGGCCGGTACCGAAGCGGGTGGCCAAACTGTCACCGAAAAAGGCGTAGAGCTCCTGGTAGATGTCAGCCAGGGTCACGGAAGGAGAAGGGTCCTCCGGCCCCGCGCCCCCTGGCGGCAGCGGGAGGCCAGCCCCAAAGCCTGGCTCGGCAGCACCCCCGGAGGGAGACTCCTGCAGGAGAAGGCTGTCCCAAGGCAGGTCATCCGGCCGCTTCAGGCCTCTTCCCCGCAGGCCACGGCGGTTGGGCTCTGCTGCCTGCGCCTTCATCTTCAGCAGTCGCTCTACGGCCACCTGTAAGAGCAAGGGACTAGGATAGGAAGCACGAGGAGGAACCTGGGCCCAACAAGTATTCCTAAGTAAGCCTTCTGAGCACTCACCAGAATGGCTCCATAGACTTTGTGCCCATCTGCTTTGACCTGGGCATTAGATACCGAATAATCATCCAGCACAGCTTGCAAGTTTGTCCAGTAAGTGGATAGGTGTGGGTACAGGACTCGTTCTACTGCCTGGAAGGAAGAGAAGGAAGGCAGTAATCTGCCTGCCTATGCTGCTTACTGCCATTCAAGTACCTACTTTTATCTCTGTTCATAGACATGACTCAGTCCTAAATAACCTCCTTGGAGTAGTTAACATTTCTTTCCTATCAATTGTATGCCAAGCTTTTGCTAAGCACTAGGGATAAAGTCAGGGTACAAAGACAGACCCCACTAACACTGCCCCATCTGCCATGGGATGGGGGCATAAGTAAAACATTGCTAGCAACACAGAAATACACAGTTTGAAAACTGCTAGCGAATACAATCACCAGGCAAGTACTGTTCTCATGTAGACAGAAACTGGAACTCATTTCATACCATCTGCACAAAAAACAATCAGTGAAACGCATTGTGATTACATAATTTTAAATGCTGTAATTCATTTGAAGAAAAGCAATTAAGGTTTCCCAGAGATGATATTTATGATGTGTTTCGACACATAAGGCAGATTTCTTTGGTCACTCATCCACAGCATGAATATTTGAGGATGCTGACAAAAATCGTCAGAAGGCTAGAAAAATATGTGACTGACTCACAAAGATTAACTATGTAACTGACTATGAAAGACACTGAAACTGGTTTTAAATTACAAAGAAAACACCATGCCGAAATTTACAAAGGTCTATAGACACTCAAAAAAGATTACCTTAATCTTATAAAAAACAAAACAAGAAATCCTCTCTCCCACATTCTGTGAGGCCAGTAGAAGCCTGGTAACTAAACCCAGACAAAAAACAGCACATGAGAAGAAACTTATGATTGAGTTCATGAATCTACAAATCCTTTTAAAGTTTAGAAAACTCAAGAGTACATAAAAAATGCAGTATATTCCAGTAAGTCTTTTTTTTTTTTTTCTTAAAGACTACACCATGACCAAGTTTAGTTTATCCTAGAAGCAGATTTTACTATTAGGAAATTAGTGGATACAGTGGCATGTACCCATGGTCCCAACTACTAAGGAGGCTGAAGCAAGCAAGAGGATTACTTAAGCCCAAGAGTTTGAGGCCAGCCTGCATGGGCAACATAGGGAGACCCCATCTCAAAACAACAAAAGTTAGGGGGAAGAAGGGGTAAAGCTCATTGGTAAAGTGCTCACCTGGCATGCACATGGCCTTGAGTTCAATCCCAAGCACATCAAAAAAAATTTTTTAAAAATCTAAGACTAAAGGCATGGTTCCAATGGCAGACTGCCTGCCTAGCACATGTCAGGCCCTGAGTAAAAATCCTAAATACAGCCAAAAACTAAATGAAACAACAGGAAAAAAATTTATAATTAATCATATTTGCAGATAAAGGCAGAAACTCTAAAGATGCAAATAGGGGCTGATGGAGTGCTTCAAGTGGTAGAGCACTACCTAGCAAGTATAAGCCCCTGAGTTCAAATGTCAACACCATCAAAAAAAAAGTTGCAGATAGTTTCTGATTTACTACTGCTTTTCTTTGGCAGTGTGGCAATAGTAGAGCTCAAACCTCAGTGCACTAAGGAGAGAAAAAAAAAGCCCAATGTGGTAATATAGACCTATAATCCCAGCTACTGGGGAGGTGGAGGTAGGAGAGTTGAAGGCCTGCCTGGATTACATAGTGAGACCTTGTCTCAAAAACAAGATACAAAAGCTGAGGGCATGGTTCAAGTGGCAGAATGCTTGGCTTATATGCATGAGGCCCTGACTAGGTTCAATCCCCAGGACTACAGGCTTACACCTGTAATGCTAGCTACTGGGGAGGCTGAGATCAGGAGGACTGCAGTTCGAGACCAGCCCAGGTAAGAAGTTCACAAAACCCCCATCTCCAAAATAATCAGAACAAAATGAACCAGAGGCTCAAGCGGTAGAGGATCTGCTTTGGAAGCACAAAGCCCTGAGTTCAAAACCCCACTCCCACCCAAAAAAAAAAAATTAATGATAAAACTACGAATATAGGTAATTTTCTTTGATCTCAAAGTACATAACGCATTCACAGTAAATACCACCCTAAGTGCAAAAGGTGATAAACACTTTTTTAATTTTGCTTTTGGTGGTGCTAGGGGTTGAACTCAGGGCCTTATACTTACTAGGCAAGCACTCTACCACTGAGCTACATACATCCCCAGTACTAGCACTTCTTTTAAAATCAGAAATGACAAGGATGGCCATTATCATATGTAAATATTGGTATTCTACCAATATAAGGAAAATTGCATTAGAGTTAGAAAAGAGGAAAGAAAAGCTCTCATTATTTGCACATGACATGACTATCTACCTTAAAATTCCACAAGAATCTACAATAATAGTTTACGAAAGTAGCTGGATCAATTTACAAAAATCAACACCATGAAGACACATTACAGCAGCATCAGAGGACAGTAAGAATCTAGTAATAGGGCTGGAAGAGTGATTCAACTGGTAAAGTACCTGCCTAGCAAGCATGAGGCCCTAAGTTCAAGCCCCAGCACTGAAAAAAAAAGAATCTAGGAATAAATTTAATAAAAGAGGGTGGGAGTGCAACTCAGTGGTAGAGTACCTGCCTATCAAGCAGGCGCTGGTCTGATTCCCAGTACCGCAAAAATAAAGTGTATGTACATTCTCCTTAGTAAAATTATGAAAGCGTTCTAAAAGTGAAAACCTAAAACAAAAAAAAAAAAAATGGAGATACACCATGTTGATGTTCAAGATGACTTAATATCATAATGATGTCACTTTTCGCCAAAACTAATAGATCCAATATAATTCCAATAAAAATCTCAAAATCACCAAATAAGAGTGGTTCTACAGAAGAGCTGGAAGCATGGCTCAGTAGCACTAGGGCCTGAGTTCAAACCCCACCTCCCTGGAGGAATACCACCAAAAAAAAAAAGAACCGCATTAATATACTTGTCATGTCAACAGAACTAAGGCAAATAATTTAATGATTTCTATAGGTACCAAAGAAGCATAGAACTAAATTTAGTATCTATACACATTTAAAATACTGGCCCTCAAAGTTAGGTTATTTCCTAACATGGTAACATGTAATGGGCAGGAATTTATAAAATGAGGGTGTACCAACATCTGCCATGTAAGAATTTTGAAGAAATAAGACTTTATATATAATTGCTGGGCATAGGTAGCTCACACCTATAATCCTAGCTACTCAGGAAGCAGAGATCAGGAAGATGAAGATTTAAAGTCAGCCTAAGCAAATAGTTTGTGAAACCCTATCTTGAAAAAAACCTATCACAAAACAGGGCTGGTGGAGTGGCTCAAGTGGCAGAGCACTTTGCCTAGCAAGCATGAGGCCCCGAGTTCAAACCCCAGTACCGCCATAAAAAAAAAAGAAAAAAAAAAAGGCGATATATAGAATGTCAAGGTGTCGCTAAGCCTGGCCTCAGGCAAGAACTCAATACACAGCAGCAGCATGGCTTACCATTTTTGTAATAAAAAATACACCAGTGCTATTTTTCTAACACAAGTAGCAATTCACGGCTCTGTAAGAAAAATCGGAGTCCTTACCTTCCAGCCAAGAGCATGCAGCCCCACCACTGCGCCATAGTGAGAGCAGAGAGGCCGCACAGGATCTGCCAGGACCTTCTGCAGGGAGAGCAGGATTTGCTGATAGAGGCCACTTACAAGGTCCCCATGAGTCCTGTGGGAACAACATCCAGTCAGGGAGGGTAAGGAGGCACAGCGCTGCCCAAATGGCTCAAGACACAGCACACAGAGAGGCTGACCACAGTTGACAGGTCCAGGACTCAAGGGCTAAAGGAACAGTATGGCTTAAGTGCTAGAGAACCCGCCTAGCAAGTATGAGGGCCTGAGTTCAAACCCCAGAACCACCAAAACAAAACAAATAAAAAAAGGACTAATACACCTTGGTGTGTTTTATTTTTTGTTGTGTTTTGTTTGTATCTTGAGACAGGGTCTCATTATGTAGCTCAAGTTGGCCTAGAAAT